ATTTTTATGCACGATAGAGTATAATAAGCGTGGTAGGGGTGTCTTCCCGATCGAATTGCAATTTGGAAGGGTTGGAATGAAAATATTGGGGGTGGAAATGCACTCAATCTTCTGTATCTCAAAACGAGTTTATGTTCTTCCCATTTATGGGGGCGCGATAAATACGAGTCCGTGTTTTTCGTACCCTGACCTCCGGTAAATTTTCATATTAACAGGGGCGATCTCCTTTTTAAAAAATTAGGCGTGGTCCATGGACCCGGTCCATGGGGTGGTCCATGGACCGGGTCCATAGGGGTGGTCCATGGACCCCAGTCCATGTTTTGTATACGTCCGAATTATCGTGTTGTGAAACTAATTTTGGAAGCGCTTGAGAACGTGACTTCTGTTGAAGATTTTGCCGCATGCGCGCGAAAATCCACGAATTCGTGGTTTAGAGAAATCATTTGAGTATAAATCGCTTCTGAATTCCTTATTTTTTTCTGATTCCCTCCAGGTTTAGCTTGTTCTTATAAATAGCCACGCAAAAATTAGTCAAGAATTGACTAAATGCGGCTCTTCGTCGTCATTGAATCCTTCGAGAAATCAGGCGCTGCAATAAAATTACTCTTGCTCGTCTTGCTCTTTGAAATAAAGTAATGAACAGCAATGAAATAAGAATAAAAACCTCTCTTTGATCCGTTTGATTCTCGAGCATATTTTCCGCTTTTGCGCCAAAATTTTTTGCGCCAAAGTTTTGAACACGCGACCTGAAATTTAATCCTTTGGGGCGTTAAACCTCCCAAAGTCCAATGGTTTCCACTGTGACCTTTTAACCAAGGGAAAATGAAACCTGAGGTACATTTACCTCGGGAAATTTTTCCTAGGTAAAACGATTTTCCCCGGGTAAAAGCCTGTAGTGTGACCACAGCTATTTAAGTAAAAAAATTAAGATTAAAAAGGGACAGACAGAGAATAAACAAATAAACAGTCGAATAATGCTATCATGTTTCCATAAATCCACATTTTACAAATCCATGTTTTACAAATCCATGTTTTACAAATCCATGTTTTACAAATCCATGTTTTACAAATCCAGTCCATGTTTTACAAATCCAATCCAGTTTATACTTTACAATATGCCAAGAAATACAACGAGTAAAAGCCGTTCTGCGAGATAACAATTATCCAATGCCTTTTATACGGAACTGTGAGAGAGTATTATTTAAACAACCCGCCCAGACCAACTTCAATGGCTTTGTAGTGCTGCCGTATGTACAGGGTGTTTCCGAGAAAATAAGTCACATATTGCCGGAAACAACAAAAGGTCAAAGTAGCCTACAAACCACAACAAACAATCAACAGCCTTTTTCCACGCCCCAAGAAGCTAGACGAACCAGACTGCCAGAAGTCAGGAATGGTGTACAAAATCAATTGCACACAGTGTAATTTTAAGTACTATGGCCAAACAGAAAGATCATTAAAGACCAGAATTGCGGAGCACAAAAAGGCAGTTACAGGTTTGGACTTAAACTCCAAAGTCGCAAGCCTTGTCTACCTTTTCGACCACAACATCAGTGGATTTCACAAGCGTCAGGGTCGTTGGTTTCGAAACTAATTACCACGAGAGAYTTTTCCTTGAAGCCTGGCACTCTACTTTGGATCCGAATGCTGGGAACGATCACATCGTACTTCCAGAAGCCTATAAAGACCTCGCGCGAGCATCAAATACATAGTTACGCGCGCAAGCTTCGCGTCACGTTTTTAACTTTAAATAGCGTATGATAACGATCTTCGTTTTTCATATCACTGATGAAGGCTTAAGCATTAGCCGAAACGTCTGTTTCAGAAATAACAACAGTCAGAGGCAACCAATTTCCATAAAACTCATGACATCTCCTGACTACACTTTTTCCATTTTTAAACA